ATCCTCATTTTGCACTGAGAGCCCATATATGGTTGAGTGCCTCCTATCTTCTTGTAGTGTCCAGGTGTTTTGGTTATTCAGAACACCCTTCCCTCTTACCTGTCCTGATCAGCATCAGACTGGGTGTGACAGTCCAGCCTACCACTGGGCTGGAAAATGAATCTCCCAGCTGTCACCATCCTTATAAAACGGATGTACTATCACATGAATAGGCTGCTTTAAAGTAAAAAAAAAAACCCTCCTACAAAAAATTTTATGACAGAACAAAAAATGCAACACTTGAAACGATCAAATTTTAATTTGCAATTTTTTCTTGTTGCACAGCAGCAACTAGCCAGCTACACCCTGACCTCTGTATGGGCAGATGCTATAGCTTCCTGCCTTAAACAGATGCTGTTATGCTTATAAATCGATGAAGAGCGTTACAGCTCAGCAGTTAACCACCACCTATCCTGAAGCTCCACTAAAGCACGGCCTGAGCGCAGCAGACCACCAGCATGCCTGCCTTCAAAGGCCTGACTTGGAGGTAAGGGGAAAGCTGCCATCTGGAGGAGAGGGGCTGTACCTCTGCTGGGGCGCAGAGCACACCCCACTGGGTCACACTGCAGGCAAGTGACAAAACCAGCACTGTCCACGTCTCAAAGCATAAAAAACAAAAATCAAGGTTTGCAGAGAAACAACTTACTTAACTGAAATTTCCTCAAAAATGTGACTTGAAGATAAGACGCTACACAAACAATAACTGGGAAAAGCTGGTAGGATTCAGTATCTGAAGCTGATGGAGCTCAACACTCCTCTAGCAAAAGAGCTGTCAGTCCCATGGTACAGAAGGCATCTTACAACATCAGGAGGTTTTTAATCCCCTCAGGTAGAGAAAGCCAAGAAGTCATCATAAGAGTACGAATGTCACCCCGACGCAGACACTCTAAGAGGCAACTTAAGGGCAACAATTATTGTGACAACACTCACGTACATGTATTTTATCAGTTGTGCTTAAAGAAAATTACTCTCTGAAAATAACTATGAGCAATGAAAGAGGGAAAATAAATGTGTGTATGTGTTTTGCTTTGGTTTATAATACATTCACCCAGTTCGTCTGTTAGCTTTTTAAGGTCATCCAGTTTTAAGGCCAGCCGAGGAAATTGAACAATAATCTGAAATTAAAGAAAAATCATTTTATGATTATCAAAGGATCAGTTAAACCACAAGAAAAGCAAATCACCTCAGGCAGAATTTAGAAGCCAAGGAATTTCAAAAAGATCAACTATCTAAAGTAATTTTCTGTTTGTGACTCTGAGGGAACGAGATGGGTGGTCTCCACTGAAATGTGACTGAACTGTCTTAGCAAGGTTTTTAAACTAGCTGTTAGCTTTTAACTGGCCAGGCAGAGACAGAACATGACAGGTTTCTGACAATCAAGCCGAGCAACCTAGCTCTAACAAGGCTGTAGAAGAGGCCAGTTACCCAAATCTGAAATAAATCCAGAAAACCAGCATGGAGCTCTGAGCTGGGCAGGGCATGGCTAAAGCGAAGGGTGCTAGGAAGAAAAGGCATCTGGACTGGCACACCACCTGCGAAAGTCTCTGTTCCTGACACACCTACGGAGCCAGAGGCAGACAACGGAAGCAAAGGAAGCACCCCTGAAGAAGGGAGGCAGAAAGTGATCTCAAAGCTCTTTAAAAATAACTTGTGTCTAACTATGCAACAGAAGTTTTGAAAGCACATTTTTCTTTTCATTTTTAGAACTTGGGAAGTGGGGTAAACTGACTTGTAAAACAAGGGAAATTACCAGTAACACAAAATTTAAGAAAACCAGATTAATTCACCCCTAATACCATGAGAAAGGGCTTGCAAAAGAGACCATTAAAAAATGCATGGCTAGCCAGGGCTGGCCATCACCCACTTCAGGTAAAGCCCTTTTACCAGTCTGGTAAGTTGGGGAAAAAGAAGGGAAGGAGAATAGTAGTAAAAAAGAAAAGGAAGAGCCACAAGGTAAAGCTAAAAGATAGGCGAATTATTTCCACATCTTCCACAAAGATCTAGGCTATTAATGCAGTTCAGCTAATGAACACATATTAATATGGAAGAAATATGCAACATAGGACAGCTCAAAAACTACATTATTTGCATTTCAAAAGGTTAGGCAGAAGGGGACTGTAAGCTGAACCATTTGCATGCACTCAAATGGAGACAGCAAAAATAAGTAGCTCTTACAGTAAGAAAGATGGGGATGATGGCTTTGGATTTTGTTTATTACTTGTAACTGCAACTGTTTGGTGAGTGCTAGGAATGTTATCTTGAAACTAATTCCTAAGCATGTGATTTATTAGGAACAAACTGATCGAGTCTTTAGGGGTAGATGCTTTAACTCTCAGCTACATTCTGCAAATACAAAGTAGAAAGTGGTTGAAACTTAAATCAAAAAAGCTCTTGGGGATTCCAAGAATGAACACAGTTCAGTTAATTTATCAAGCAGTTACAACCACAACAGAAAAACTCCACCAAAAACTAGGGGTGAGGCAGAAACACGCAAAATACGAACTAGTGATTCCAACAAACAGAATACGATATGAATATTTTAAGAGACTGGGAAAGCAGAAGCCCAGAGTGCTGGAGGCAGTCATAATATGTATATATGTAGCAAGTGTCCTAGCTTTCCATCAGGAACATCTGGAGCTTCATGTTTTTTATTAAATAAACGAAGATATTCCATAAGCTTTAGCAACCAGGGCACTGCAGGCATCTCTGTAGCATCCTAGGGAGATGGGGACCCCCAGAACTAACTTGCAGCGCTGAGGTTTTACAGCCACACGAAGGCCTGGGCACAAATGCAGACCATCCAGCAGAGCAGTGCAGAGCAGGAAAGCAGATATACAAGAGGAAGCCAGCAGTTACCATGTCCGCAACTCTCCCAAGCAAAAAGGATTACAAAACTGTTCCCTAATCAA